ACTGAAGAGACAAATTGACATACCTGACCGGAGTGCACGACAAAATTGAGATCATAAGGAAATACAGATTAGCCACCCGCCTGAACTGTCATTATAAAAAGAAGGGTGAAGAGATAAGATAAAGATTATAAAAAGACAAGTATTGAATAATACAGCTGGATTGGGAACTTTATCCATATTTACGGTTATGTAATAACTAATTTACATTTAAAAGATGCTTCCAACATTCTAAATTTCCAACTTGCTAATCTACAAGAGCAGACAAGAAAGACTACATCTATTGGAAAGGCAGGAAAGATGGTACTTTTCAGTCAAGTCATGCTACACCCTTTTGCTCAATTCATAGAATGCAATATCAATTTGGCCTTGGAAAAAGATTTGGCGAAGTTCTGCTTCTTACAAAGTTCAAATCTTCACTTGGTGGGTCATCTGGAGAGAAAGAAACTCCAAAATTTTTGAAGAGGAAAAGGAGAATGTAGCTAGTCTTAAATTCATAGTATTTCTCTGCTTACTTTTTGGAGTAACATTGGCAAATGTACATGATACTCACGATGTTGAGGCCATGATTGACCTTATTAGTTCTTTGCACAACTTGTAGGGTCTTCTTTTGATCTACTGTTGTACATGACATCATACTCTTGATGTTGGTGCTTATATAAAACTTTACCCTACTTATCAACAAAAATTCCAATATGCTAATATTCTGAATTTCTCAAAATGTTAATCAAATTTTGTTTTGAAGTACATTGAACAAAGTGCCTAGTATTCTTAATTCCTGAAACGCATGAATTAGGACATCGCGGAGGCACATGACTCAACTCTTGGTGCCTTTAGATTGGTCTGATGCCCTTGAAAAAAATAAGTAGAAAATTTTCATATAAGGGAAACAGAACATTTCTTATTACTTTTCTTTTCTCATATAGATACGGCGGGACTATATCTTATAGTTTTCATGAGCTTTTTTCTTGACCAGTATCATATTGCATGAACGAACCTACTTAAAAATCTTTACCAGTTACTCAAGAAACTTCTCCCTCTACATTCTATGTTAATAGGTTTCAACATGGCATACATGATTTAGAACGAGGTCCTTCTATGAGGTTATTGCAGGATCATGGACCTCTGTATTAAACATCCTGTATAATAAGCTCATGTATAGCTGATTTAACTAAATTTTGTGTAACTCGGACGTTTCCAACTTTCGAACTAAACTTACAGTTAAAGCTTGGTAGAGATACGGACTGCTTAAATGAGCGAAAGCGATAGTAGAAGACGTAACATAGGAGATAAAACAATTTACCTGTTCAAATAACCCCTTTGGCAAGAATGTTATGATGTCATACTTTGTGGTCGACACAGAATTTCCCTGAAAAAGAAAAGGGAATTCACCACATCATTTTTAGGTGCAATTTAACACTTGTAAGGAACATGGTTGTATATGCACAGCACTAGACAGCTAACATTTGGAATCTTCCTTAATAAACGATTTAAGTGACCCTTGAAGAGAGAGTTTTGGCACCAACTAGCCATTCCAAATAGCATTTAACCTATCCATCATTTTCCAGTAACTGAAAGGGAGCCTTAGCACAATAGTAAGAGTTAGTCACTGCGTGACCAGGATGTCAGGGTCATGCAACAAAAATAATATGGTCCAGTCCAGGCTACCTTTTCATTAAATTCCCATCCTTCCCAGGACCCATGGATAGCGGAAGCTTAATGCACCAGGGTCCAGGCTACCTTTTTATTAAAACCCCAGCCAGTAAACTCAAACTATTTCAAGTCCTTACACATCAACCAATCCCTGAACCCACATTTACCATTCTAAACCAATGCATTTGGTGATAATTAACAAAAAAAAATTAAGACTTTTACAGAGGAAATAACATATACACAATAATTAAGAATGAAAAGAGGAAAAAACCTTGAATTTGGTGAGAGCATTGGCATCACGATCATTACAAAAGACGGTTCGATGACCAGGCGCTTGTGGCTGTACTTTACCCAAACGAATGTTCTTAGAAGATGCGATTCTGTTCCTCATCGCCGCTGTTCCATCCGCCGATCCAGATCCTCTCCATCCCCCCGCCATAATTCCTCTGATCTCGCGGACCAAATATTCTTCTCCCGAACGGAATATTTTCTTCTACAAATTCCTTTGATCTCAACGGAACTACGCCGTCGCCGGAGGATATTCCTTTGATTTCGCCGGACCTACGTCGCCGGCCGGAGCAATTCTACTTCTCGTCTTCTTCTTCTTCTTTTATGTATTTGTTTTTTGATTAACTTGATAAATTATGAATTAAGTTGAACGAAGTTGAAGAAGACGAGTTTTCCAACGATTGAATTTTTCATAAATTCAACCTTTTCTTCTTCTGCTTCTCAACCAAGTTTTTTCCATTTCTTTAACCGCGTTGAAGAAGAGAATATTTTTGGAAAAAAGAAAAAAAAAAAGAGAATATTAAATTATTTTGTTTTATGTTTAGTTTTTTAATTTTATGCATACAACGAGGAATTGGCGCGTGAAAGACTGTGTGAATTGACTGTGAAGAAGGTTTAATATGTTGGGTTTACACGTGCTAAAGGGAGCGTTTGGTAATATGGGATTGTGTAGTTCATTTTTCTTATTTTTGTCGTATTTCTATTTTTGAGTCTAGGGAGTTGAACAAACTATAGGAGGACTTGGTAAAGAACGATGACATTTTGATAGTACTAATGTGCGCATCGGCGCAATGTAACGGTACGACCGTTGAAGATTTCAGGTACGTGGCGGTTATTGACTCGGAATGCATTCTCTAATGCCTTTTTAGGCAAAAAAAAAATACGTTTTTACTACTAAAAAAAATTACATAAATAACTAAAATACAGTATAATACTACATTTTACTTTAACGAAAAGTTAGCCGTTAAAGTAAAACGCAGTATTATACTGCGTATTATTAAAAAATTAATTTTTTTAAGAAAAACGCAGTATAATACTGCATTTTCCTATTAATATTGGGCCCGGCTATATTTAATTAAAGGGAAACGCAATACAATACTGCGTTTAAGGAAAATGCAGTATTATACTATATTTTACTCTAAAAAAATAGAAAGCTCTTCTTCCCAAAGACAACGACAGAATCATCACCATTAAAAAAGAACACCCCTGCTCCACTGCTGGTCCCCCCTCCCCCCAAAATCAAAATTTAAAAAAAAAATTGGGCCCCACCCGTCACCCAAAAAGCAAAGAGTGTAGGTCCCGCATACAAGACAAGCTTTGAATTCCTTCATTCAGGTGCAAAATTTCGATTTGACTCAATTTTAAAAAACTTAAATCGAGGTATTTCGATTTTGTTTATGTCGAAACTCGTATAGTACATGCATATTTCCGTTGTTGAATATGTTTCCATGTTAATTTGTGTTATGTTTGTGTTTAAATTTGTATCTTATTTATACCCGGATTGATTTATTAGTTTTGGGACAAAAAATTGTTAAAATTTGACAAATAATTTTAAATGTTAATGTTATGTTTTTATTTGCTTAAATAATAAATAAATATTATTTATTTAGTTTGTTGTTCATATTTGTATGTTATGTTTGTTGTTTTTATATGTAACAGTGATCTTTTAGCGTAGTAAAATATAGAGTCTTTTAGCGTAGTAAAATATAGAGCCTTTTAGCGTAGTAAAATGTATAGCCTTTTAGCGTAGTAAAAAATTAATTATTTAATTTATAAAAATAAACTTACAAAAGTAAAAAATTAATATATGTTGTCAAATTAAATCAAATATCGAACCTGGAACCCATACATAATAATTAATTATTTAATTTATTAAGCTAACAAAATTCTAAAAATATTGAAATTGACATGCATAATAATTAAGGATAGCTTGGTGCTACCGGGCCTCAAATATCGAGCCTGGAACCCATACATAATTATTCAGTCCAATTCAAGGAATTTTAATTTAATTTATTAAACTAACAAAATTCTAAAAAATTGAAATTGACACACATAATAATTAAGGATAACTTGGTGCTACCGGGCCTCAAATATCGAGCCTGGAACCCATACATAATTATTCAGTCCAATATTAAAAATAATTAATTATTTAATTTATTAAGCTAACAAAATTCTAAAAATGTTGAAATTGACACACATAATAATTAAGGATAACTTGGTGCTACCGGGCCTCAAATATCGAGCCTGGAACCCATACATAATTATTCAGTCCAATTCAAGGAATTTTAATTTAATTTATTAAACTAACAAAATTCTAAAGAATTGAAATTGACACACATAATAATTAAGGATAACTTGGTGCTACCGGGCCTCAAATATCGAGCCTGGAACCCATACATAATTATTCAGTCCAATATTAAAAATAATTAATTATTTAATTTATTAAGCTAACAAAATTCTAAAAATATTAAAATTGACACACATAATAATTAAAGATAGCTTTGTGCTACCGGGTCTCAAATATCGAGCCTGGAACCCATACATAATTATTAAGTCCAATATTAAAAATAATTAATTATTTAATTTATTAAGCTAACAAAATTCCATCGGTAATTGAAATTGACACGCATAATAATTAAGGATAACTTGGTGCTACCGGGCCTCAAATATCGAGCCTGGAACTCATACATAATTATTAAGTCCAATATTAAAAATAATTAATTATTTAATTTATTAAGCTAACAAAATTCTAAAAATATTAAAATTGACACGCATAATAATTAAGGATAGGTTGGTGCTACCAGGTCTCAAATATCGAGCCTGGAACCCATACATAATTATTAAATCCAATTCAAGGAATTTTAATTTAATTTATTAAACTAACAAAATTCTAAAAATGTTGAAATTGACACGCATAATAATTAAGGATAACTTGGTGCTACCGGGCCTCAAAAATCGAGATCGGAACCCATAGATAATTACTTAATCCAATATTAAAAATAATTATTTAATTTATTAAACTAACACACACAATTAATTTTCTTTAAATTATAGTAGACGACATGGACATTCCGCCTGCGCATCCTGGACCTGCCGAGGATCAGCTATTAGTGTTGCAGGGCGACCATAGGTCCTCCTTTGTATGGGAGGGACAGCTATCGGATGAGCCTCTCCGCGCCAGGAGACCTGACGATTTGTGGGAGTTCATGGCGCAGCATCCTTTCCATGCCCGCATAGTCGCGCGCCTACAGGCTACGGGCTTCTATACGATTTTTCGGATTGGGCGGATGCAGCTTGATTGGTCTCTCATTACGGCCTTGGTAGAGCGGTGGATACCGGAGACGCATACTTTTTACTTGCCCACTGGAGAGGCCACTATCACGCTGGAAGATGTTCAGGTTTTGTACGGGCTGCGCATAGATGGACGGGCACTGCCCCAGTACATTAGATCCATGACGCGTGGACAATATTTGGATATGATGGGGCAGTTTACTGGTTATAGACCTCAGGGTGACGATGTACAGAGAGGGGGCATTCGCGTTGCTTTGTCAGGCATCAGAGATCATATGGCGTTTTTGCACCCAGACATTACCGGCGAGACGGAGGATCTCCATATTGAGAGGTTGCGGTTGGCGTTGCTCCTGCTTTTCGGGTGTGTCTTGTTCCCGAACACTTCGGGGAGTCTAGTGAGTATGCGTTTTCTCCATCATCTTCAGCAGCTGGATGATTTACCCTTGTACAGCTGGGGTGCTTCTGTTCTTGCATACCTGTATAGGAGCATGTGTCGGGCGAGCATACTTTGCGCGGTGGACATATGTGGATTTCTGCCCCTCCTACAGGTGACAACATTTTCGAATACTCCGTTCATTACTCCGAATTCTATATGGTCGAAATGACTCATAAATTTTACATCAACCTTTTATCTTAGGTTTGGGTCTGGCAGCGGATCATGCCGTTGCAGCCACCTCTACCACCACTTGCGTCCGGTGAGGCTTATCTGTTTCTCCCTCTAGCTTCTAGGTGGGTTCTCCGGCGTGGGAACTACCGAGGGACCGATGCTCATCATAATCCCCCCTTGTCAGGGATGTGTTAGATATGCTGGTGGCCGGACAGGTAAATATGTACCTACACTTACTTGTTATAAATTGATTTGTGTTGCGCATGCTCACTTTTATGTTATTATTTGATAGTTTATTTGGACGCCATACAGCGACGAGTTGCTAGCTCAGCTGCCCGATTATTGCTTAGTCGACCAACTGTTTTGGAGAACCTCCGTTCCGATGATCTTCTTCGATATGGTTGAGTATCATGCCACAGAGCGTGTGCTTCGCCAGTTTCACCGTCCCCAACCTATACCGGGGGAGCCTGCATGGGTCCATACACACTATTAGCGGGATGACTGTGTCAGGGTGGACGATATATTTATGGGATGGCTAGAGCAGCAGGTCCATATTTGGGAGCAGCGAGAGTACCGTATTCCGCCACCACCTTCATTTACCCAGGAGGCCACTATTCATCTGTATACGTCATGGTACTGATGTCACACTCGATTGATGATCGGGAACCCCATTCATGTACTTGGCGAGCGCTACAGACCATACGTCGGGAGGCACGAGTCATTGGTATGTTTTTTTGGCTTATTAATATCTTATATTTGTTATATAGCATTATTTTTTTAATATCTTAAGTGTTTCACAGGCTATTGGGCATCACCTGGTCTACCAGTTGGGACAGGAGATGCAGCAGCATGCCGACAATTCTGCACTCGTTGAGTATGGCCGGCGGGTGGCAGATCTGGCTCGTCGGACCCTGTTTCAAGCAAGAGATGGCACGAGGTTGGATAACGAGGCTCAGTATGCGATGCCAGAGGACTACCATCGGGGTAGGGCTTTCCCACGAGGCAGGGGTAGGGCACGAGGGAGGGGTGCCCCACGAGGGGGGGTGCCCCACGGGGTCGCGGGGGACGGAGAGGAGGTGGTCCCCAGCAAGGGGGCGTTGAGGCACCTGTCGACCCACCTGTTGAGGGACATGATGAGGATTTTGGAGATGATCAGCCAGGTTATATACCTCAAGGTAGATGAGCCTTCCAGCATCATGCCGTCGTATAGCCTTCAGCTATCTCTGTCAGCATCGCAGGTCACCCCGTCAGGAGCATTGTCGATCATGGGTACATTCGACGGGGATGTAGACCAGTACTTTGCATGCCCATCTACTACAGCTGAGGATCGTCCGACCCAGGACGTGGATGGCGGGCGCAGGTTGAGTTATGCCTCATCCCCGGCGGTTGATGTGGATCTACCACAGGCGCAGGTATGTTTGTATTACTTTAAAATTTCAATTTGTTTTCTTTTCCTTAATGAGTTGTCATTAATTAATTTTTAACTTTCTTATGAAGGCTTCGTCCCAGCCCATCTTTGAGGCCACTACATGCTTTGATGAGGACACCACAAATGCATATACTTAGGAGGCCGACGAGACCACGGTGAGAAAATGTTTTTTGACTTAACACGTACAATACAAATATACTTTGTCACATGCTAAGATTAGTACTTGTTTTGTAGGTTGTTGACGGCCCGACGGTCTATTCTTCCGATCTTGCCAGATGTGGTGTCGATGCTGCTGCACATCCTCACATAAAGAGGCGGCTTGATGATGATAATCCAGATAGTGTACCCGGGCGATAGGGGATGCGACTTAGGCCAGCAGCAGCACTGAAGCACACAGGCTGCGGGACTCATTGATTTACTTATGTTTTTACTTTGTGTAAATAGTGCATTATGTAAATAATGGTAACAATTATCTTTTAATAACAATTTTATTTTAATTGCATTTGAACAGCAATTTTACTTTAACAGTACAACACAAGCACAAACCTTGCAAACCTAACACAAAAACAAACAGTAGAACTAATGAAAACACTGGACAAAGGAAAATAAAGATACACTACAATGCTCAACATGTACATGCCATTGTTTAGTCACTACCGCCTAGTATTCTCTGCTTCATCCACTCGAGCTTGTTTTCCAACTTTTTTTCTCTTCTTCCGCCTCCTTGAGTTTCGCCTTCAACTCTGCAATTTCAAGCTTGGATTGGCGCTCTCTGTCCTACTGCCCCGTACACACATCATGAAGATGATACAATTTGTTTTTGTAATATTCCTGCTCACATGGTTCATCAATCCATACCTTAAAATTGCATGTAGGTACGCCAGGTTGCCTATAAAACATGTTCATACACGCCCAGTAGCGGCGTCCAGCTTCTTCCCAACAATCGTACATCATGCTTTTGATTCCACAGTCGCACTTTGGGCAATAAAGGAGTTGTCGAGACATTTCTTAAAGAGAAACTTTGGTTTTATGGAAATATTTGCTATAGGTTGTTGTTAAGCGTAGAAAATAACTAGAATGCGCTTGTTATTTATAGGCAAGATTTCACATATAACGTAGTATTATACCACGCTTTACATACACGTAAAACGTAGTGTTATACCACGTTTTGCATATTAAATTTCTCTGAAATGACATTGTTTTATCCCATGGTTTTCAGGTTTTTCAGAACGACATGACAACTCAACAAAGCGTAGTATTATACTGCGCTTTACATATTATTAACACCAATACATTGAATTTTTGAACAATTCTATGAAGAAAATAATACATTATGTAGATAATGGCAATAATTTTAGTTTAACGACACAGGTTATTGTGACAGAATTTGAACAACAATTTTATTTAAACATGACAACACAAACACGGCAAATCTAACGATACACATAACAAAAACAAACAGTAGAACTAATGAAAAGATACACTAGTACACTCAACGCGTACAAGCCACTGTTTAGTCACGACCGCGTACTACTATTTGCTCCAACCACTAGAGTTGGTCTTCCAGCTTTTTTTCTCTTCTTCTACCTCATTGAGTTTCGCCTTCAACTCATCAATTTCTTGGTTGGTTCGGCGCTCGCATATCGCTTGCCTCGTACAGGTAATATGAAGATCATAAATTCTCTTTTTGTAGTACTCCTGGTTATATGGTTCATCCATCCATACCTCAAATTCACATGTAGGCTTGTCGGGTTGCTCGTCCTCCTTGTTCATACATGCCCAGTAGCGGCGTCCACCATCTGGCCACCATTTGTACAAACTGCATTTTTCTCCGCAATAGCACCTTGGGACATAAACGGGTTGTTCAGACATTTCTTAAAGAGAAACTTTGGTTATTGTTAAGTGCAGAACATAAGTAGCATGCGCCCGTTATTTATAGTTAATATTTCACACAAAACGTAGTATTATACTGCATTTTAGTTATTGAAGTTAAACGACATGACAACTCAACAAAACATAGTATTATACCACGCTTTACATATTAAAGTTATTCTGCAACAAAACAGTTTTTTCACATGGTTTTCAGCTTTTTCAGAACGACATGACAACTCAACAAAACGTAGTAGTATACCACGCTTTACATATTAAAGTTATTCTGCAATTAAATAGCTTTTTCTTCGGTCATTCCAACTTTTTGAGAATGACAATACAATAGATAAAACGTATTATTGTACCACGCTTTACATATTAGATTTATTTTTTAATACGTAATTTTTTTATTCCACATTCTTGGTCTTCTTTACTAACACAAATAAGTTTAATATTTGAACAACCATATCAAAACATCACGTTAAAAAATAAGATGTAACAAGATTGTGGAACATAATTTTATTTGATATATCTTGCAACATACACAAGTACAGACACATATTAAAAAAAAAGACTAGGGGTATCCTTGATAGTTGGGTACATTCGACGAACTTGCACCAGGAGTTGGATTGCCACCGCCACGCACACCACCTGAAGGACATTTATGATGGTCGTGTCCTGGCTGCGAGCATATGCCACATTTACGCGCATAAACTGTGTCACCAACATCCATTTGGTTCCGTATACGCGTTCTCTTTTCACTTGCAGCTTGCGCAAATAGTCCTTGTTACATACCATCTTAAAAGGTTTTGGCGGCCAATAATGCTCAACACCTAATGGCTGTAACTGCCCGCTATACGTGTCTACGAATTCAACAACACTGTATTGCCTATCAATATAGTTGGTTGCCCCATATCCAACTTGTTGAAAGCACTTCAATGCATGTGTGCACATCATGTGGTAGATGGTCCATTTCCCATAAGAACAAAATCTTCTAGCTTCATTCACCATTTGTAGATTATTCTCACGGTGTCCGCGGATAGCGGTCTTAACTTCAAAAACACCCCGGTCATCATCGTACTATAGAAACGAATGCCACTGTGCTCGCCTCCTGTACCTTTCAAATCTTCTCATGGGTATTGGCATAAATTGAACACCCATGTCCATCAATGCCGATGCAGCTCCATGCCTTTCAACTAACCTCTCCGCACTCTGTTTGAATGTCATGCGGACCATGGCAGTAACATGCAGTCCACAGGCAGACTTCAATAAGTCGTTGAATGACTCCGACACGTTTGTAGTAAGGGCTCCCCATTGTCTGCCGCCATCAGCATGCAATGTCAACATATGAAGCTCATGTCCCATCAACCAAGTATAGGCTCGTAGATCTATCTGCCGAATCGCTTCCATGCGCCTGGTGAATTTGCACTGCTGGTGCTCAGTTGCAGCCATCCACATTAAGTCATGCAAGGTCTTGTCAGGATATTTCTTCTGGAAATTGGCCTTCAGGTGCCTCACACAGTAACAGTGGTATGCATATGGTTCCTGCCATTCAGGCAAGTGCCGTACAGAACTTAAAATACCACCATATCGATCAGATATTAGACAAATACCTGAACATTGTTTGACAACGTGCTGCTTCAAGTGGTTCAAGAAAAGCGTCCACGTCTCTTCGCTTTCGTTGGCACAAATGGCAAAAGCTAGTGGAAATATTTGTCCGTTGGCATCTACTGCAACTGCAATCAAAAGCTTAATATCATACTTTCCATATACATGATATCGTCTATGGAAATTACAGGACGACAATGCACAAAACCATCAATTGCTGCTTTAAATGACCAGAACACATAGTTGAAAATATATTCGGGTATGTCCGGACTACGCTCACGTCTCCATTCAACAACAGTGTCGGGGTTAAAGTGTTGCAGTGCGGCCATGTACCTGGGCAGATTTTAAAAAGACTTATCCCAGTCGCCATAAATAAGTTCAAAGGCACGTTTGCAACCAATATATGTCTTTCTTTTGGTTATAGTACAACTATACTCTTGGTGGACGGCTGTAATACACTCTTTAATCTTGAACCTAATGGACACTTCCAAATATGGAA